TTTAATTATACTTGAGATGTGTCTAAAGCTTGACTGGAGTCAAACTGAATTGATTGGACATGGTATAGAAAGGTGTGCATATGTTTATAAGCTCCCACAGTTCTCAGTGCGTGTTGGAACAAAGCCAAGCTGTGAAGTCCGATCGACTCTCTGCAGAATAAAAACTGTGTTGAAGCATAAATCAGGGAAAACGATATAAAACATTTCGAAAGCTTCGCGTGTTCTCGGGAGAACCGTGAACTCAGTGACTGAAACGGAAGAAGATTAGAACCAGGACTTCTCTGGAGTCGTCACCAAACGGAGCAATGTTAATAAAGAATTATTCAGTGTTTTTGTTTAATTAAAAATGTCAGAAACTAAAAAAAAGAATTGCGCAACACTGATGGTCAGACCAAATATAAAAATATTTAAAAAATTTTATAGAGATTAATTGATTAATTGAGATAATAATCATCAGATTGATTGATAATAAAAAGAACTAGATGTTAAACCATCAGAATTGTACATTTAACTGTATTCTGGTGAAAATAGAGAGAGAGTTTGAGGGATTGAAACTTCCTTTCAAAGCTACAAGAAGAGATGAAACAGTGAATTTTAAGACTAAAATCATGTATTGATTGATTGGTTATCAGATTATGGAATATACTCCCTGATCAGAGATATGAAATGATCCTTTCTGACATGGATGGACGCCGTGGTGCGTTTAAAGACCGTGTGGTGAACAGCTGACCTGAATCTGTAAACAAACTGTTCATTTTTAGTCTCAAAGAGTTCATGTGTTCATCCGGTTCATTGTGCTGGTGTGTGACACACAGAGAGTGTGTGTGTGTGTGTGTGTGTGTGTACAGTATAGTGTATGTGTGAGGATGCTCTGTGTGTGACGGTGTGTGTTTGTTTCTCGCTCAGGTTTGCATGTGTGTGTTTATGCGAGTGTGTGTTTTTTGTGTCGAGCGTGTTCTCAGCCATGTGTGTGTGTGTGTGTGTGTGTGTGTGTGTGTGTGTGTGTGTGTGTGTGTGTGTGTGTTTGTGTTTAAATAAAAATCGACAGACAGAGGAAGCAGACGATGAGTTTCCTTCAGAGATTTATTTAAAAAACTTTTGTTAACACCCAAGTTTCCTCGGGACAAAGCTCAAAAACAAACACACACTAACACACACACACACACATGCTCACAGATTTACACAAACACATTTCACTGATTTCTCTCTCTCTTTGACACACACACACACACACACACTGTATATCAGATGGGCAGAGAGGAAGAGACAGTTTGTTCCTCGTCTGTCTCCGTGTCGACAGGTCTGAGGGGGTCGTTTCCTCCAGTCAAGTGTGAACCACGGACGAACAACGCTGATGCGAAACATATGATGTTGTCAAAGCAACACGTTACTGCGCCGCAGCTTCTACAGTTGCATGTTCATTTTACATGTCGGCCTAATATGTAAATTATTGACAGATTTACTCAGGTGTAGACGTGGTTTGCTTTTTTTTTTACAATACTACACAGAGCTTATTTTCAGTTTACTTCTTCTTCATGTACGCCGCACATTTACTCCCCCCTTCCTGTTTTTCATCCTGTAATTTTCATTCTTTTATTAATATACAACACACATCCTGTGACACACATGCCTTGAATAATTTCTTTTGTCCATCATCAGCTCATCGTAACAAGAAGAAGAAGACACGCACATGTGTTTTTGAATGAACTTTGTTCCCCTGTGTTTGCCAGTTCATCTGTCGTTCCCTGTATAGAAGAGAATGCTTTTAATTTGAAAAGCTTGTAAACCGAGGTTACTGATTGGTGGATAAAAGGTGCAGGACATTAAAGGCTGTGATTAAATTGTGAGTCACACACACACTGACCCAAACACTGACTCTGAACTCATCACCTTCCTCAGTGATGTGATGAGCAGCACACGACTCTGATACAGATTCGATTCTCTCAAACCTACAACAGTAAATATGTACATATATATATTTATATATTATATTTATATGGAAATCTTCTCTACTGTTATGAAATGAGATTTCTTCCACATTCAGAACCACAGTCTCTGTGTCGCTGCAGAGTCACGCTGAGGTTAAGTGAAAAGGTGGAGTCTGACTGTGTTTCCTCTCTCAGCAGGCGCCTCTCCAACCTGTTGAGCTCTTTAAAACCTGCTGACAAGATGCTCGCCAGCCAGCCGCCATGACGGATGATGATAAATTATGATATGATAACATGGTCAGTTTCTCCTGGAGCGATGCGTGTAAGCATTTTTCTGTCCCACCTGAAACAATTTCACAGTCACGGCTGTTGTGTCGACCTCGTTAGTGGACAACTGTGCTTTGATCCAGAGCCAGAAGTAACTGTTCAAACAGTTGATTGTTGGCAATAAATCAAACAACAACAACCAAAAGATGCAAAACAACTACGAAGAGACACAAAACAGCTACGAAGAGACAAAACAACTACAAACAGACACAAAACAACTATGAAGAGACACAAAACAACTACAAAGAGACACAAAACAACTATGAAGAGACAAAACAACTACGAAA